GGTATAGTGTTTTCTTGAGTCCTGTTAATCATTCTAGCAAGTTATCAAACCTGCAGGAGTCATGGTAACCCCCAAATTTGCAGCCAGTTTGTCAGAAGTGCAGGTGGCTTGGGGACTCCCAAATTTGTGACTCCATTCTGGGAACCTTCTGCGTTTAGATTGCTAAAAATGTTCTATATGTTTACTGGGATGGTGATAACATGGAAGTATGCATAGGTTAAAAAAATCGACTAATGATATACTTAAGATGTATACACTTTTTAATTTAAGTTATACGTCCATTTAAAAGATTAAAGAAAAAGGTCAACATTGCATATGTTTCAAATGAACAAATTTGTTGCAGGATTGGGATAATTAGGATTTTTTTTTAGTGTTTTCTAATGTGTGAATATAGGTAATATAAACTCAAATTTTGTTAATTCATAGTTGATGTAGTAAATCCACCTGGGCCTCAACCCAGTGTCACCTAATATTACAGAGTCACAAATGTCCAGGACAGTGGACATCACAAAGCTTAATGGTGGTACCAGAGGGAGATGGGGCGGCGGGGGGGGGGGGGGGGGCGTGCGGGGAGGGTCAGAGAAGGAGGTTGTGTATCTTAGCTGGCCCTGCCATGTATTGGTTGTGTGATAGTAGGCAAGGGGCAATGAGAGTTTCTCAGCAAGTTGATAGGATGGAAATGACGTTTATAAACATAAAAACACACAGTAAATTCCTGTGAGTGTAACCTTTAGAGTTATTGTTACTGGCAATTGTTACATCGAAATACCAGCTGGAATAGACCACCTTTATATTTCTGAACTTCTAAACTTCCTGGCATTTCAGTTTTTATTCTTTGATTTTAAAACTGAAAGCCACAATAATAATAGGAACAGAAAGAGAAGAAGTCTCTTAAGAGCAGGAAATGTAAACTCAGGGCTAACCCCATCCTCAGAAAATACCAGGGGCATCCTGGAGAAGGGACTCTTGAACTGGACCTGTCCCTTGTATACTCGTTTACAAATCAATTTAGCAGAATGCCCAGAGGGGAGGGGAGGGAAAAGCAAGACCTGAGATAGAAACGCAAAGATCCTTAAGCCTAAAATGAAGAAAAACATATTCATTTGGCTTTAAATAAGGCCATAGGCTGAGTTTGAAATTGAATTTTAGACTAGAGTTTGGGTAAGCATATCAATAGGTAGTGTATCATTCTTCACTTTTGTTTGTTTGGGGGGTTGGGTAATGTATTTAGAATATCCCACTTTAGAAATTAGATAAATATGTATTAAAATATCATGTAGATTTTACCATTTAATTTAGTTAATTCCATGCTGCATGAGTTAAGTGAAATGTATCTAAGCTCTTATGGATCTCATTTCTTTGTGTTACATTTTTAATTTAATGCCTTTACTTTCTTTTGAAGGCTTTCCATTTCATTCATATTTTTATGTTGTTTATATTACCGGATCATTATTTTCTAAACTGTATGCATTGAGCAAGGATGCTAAATTTAAAGACAAAGAAAACAAAAGTTTTGGTTATATTATTTTAGAAATTACTTATTCAAATCAGATATTTTTATTGCAGGTCATCTCAGAGAATTTAACATTTTAGTGTGTACTGTGAATGTCCAAGCTGTAGTATCGAGGTTTCTTGCAGTTTATTTGACCCAAGAACCTCTTTTTCTTACCTCCACACATTGGCATCTCTTGAGACTGATTTTGTGGAAAAATTCCTAATGATAATATGCATACATACAATAAGGTATTGTATGTACCTATTGTGGGAAAAACCAACACATATGACTTTCTTTTTAAACAAAATATTTGATTATAATGGCAAATAATGGTAGGTTTAGACAATGATCAAAGTGGCTGTGTGTGTGTCCCCTTGGTTGGTAATAGATGCATACCATGTGGTATCATTTAATTAACTATGTAACAATAGAACTGGTTATTATTTAGATTTTGCCCCTTCATGATTCTTTGTTGTAAATGGTTTTACTTATAGATGCATGTATTAGAGAGGTGAATATGATTCATGCTCATTAATAAAGGCATTAAACTTATCATTTCATTGTACTGAATTTCTAAAATGATAAAGATAATTACTTTTTTGGTGTAACTATAGTTTGTGAAATCCATCTTTGAAATATAATTCAGTTAAGTGGGTTTTTTTTTTTTAATTATACTGGGAAATAAAATTGTCTCTGAAGAATACACTACTTTGCATTTTGAAATTTGATTTTATACTCACAGTGATCAGAACATCATTCAATTCAAATAAAAGAATTAAATCTAGAGAATATGCCACATTTGCATCAAGTGTCTAGTTCCAAAACACCTCCTACACAAATTTGGATTGAATGTGGTCACTGCTTTCCCAGTGTTCCTGAAAGACCAAAATAATATGCTGCTCACTGATATATGATAAAAATTCAGCGCTATTCATTTTCAGAGAACATCTTTAATATAGACATATAATTTATTTCTATTTTATAGTGTCATTATAAGAGGACTTCAGTATTCCTAAATGGATTATAGACATAATTCACCTTATCCCTAAATAGAAATAGGCCCCATTTATGCACGAACAGATGCAGTAACATATGATGAAGCAGCTACCTCTAAGTCCGTGACCTCTTTCTGCTTTTAATTTTTCTTTAGCTGTTGGCTAAAAGGCAGATTATCTCCGAGTGTTCTCTATGATTGTTGTCAGAGAAGCATTGTGATGGCACGTTAAACAAGTATAAAAGTGATCCTAGGAAACAGAAAGAAGGCTATTGAAGTAGCCCAGATTCACACATTTGTGTGGCTCTTGGCTTTCTCAAGCTCTGTGCATTTTTCATTTGGGCTTCTAAAGAAACGGAGGTGATTCCCTTTATATGAACTTCAAGAAAGGGTAAAAATATAGTGACAGAAAGCACACCAGTGATTTCAGAGGTAGGGGGTGGGAGTCAGGTGTTGAGAGGGGCAGGAGAAAACTTTTCCAGAAAATGGAAATGTTTTGTGTAATAATACTACTGTATGTATTTGCCAAATCTCATCAAATTCTACACCTACCATTGCTAAATTTTATTATATGTAAATTGTACCTAAATAAAACTGCTTAAAAAGAAAGTATGATATGATAAAAAAAAAAAAGTATGATAAAATTCACTAGTAAGAAGAAAGGGGATCCTCGAATTTATTAATACCTGGAAATGACCAGAAAAATCATGGGATAGCTGAGTTTCCTCCAGAATTTGGGAAAGGATTAACATCAGATAAAAAAATGTAAAGTGATGATGGAAGATAAAAATGACTACACCCATGAGTTCTTCTTGATCATTGTAACTGTTTAATATATAAACCACCTAGCCTAGTGCTTAGCACATAGAAGACAATAAATGCTGAATGCTATTATTTTTATTGTGCATTAGGAGTGCCTAGACAGCCTAATAGGAATTATGACTAAATAGACAGAAGCTTCCTCCTACCTACTATGAAGACAGCCTGTGAATGAACTGGTTCTGGTAACCTGAAATACACAAAAGGAGGTGGAATTTATCAATGACTTGTTTAGGATAATTAATAAACTATAATGTATCAAAGAAGCTGAATATTAAAGTATTTCACAGACACATTCTTAGCTTTTTGTGTGTGTGTCAAATTATTTCTGAGTTATCTAAACCCATTGTGAGGACTCTCAGAAGAACTTTATATCTGATGAGAGTTAAGAGTTCTGAAGTTTGCAGGCATTCAACAGAAGTCATAGCCATATGTGTAACATTTGATTTATTTTGAAATGTTTCTTGGCCATGTGAGATATTAGTAGTGTGCCAACAATGATTATAGGAGGTTGAGGCTCAAGTTAACTCTGATCTTCACATGTGCTGTAATAGAGAAATATAATAGCCAACATTTATTGACTTCTTAATGTGCTTAGCACTGACTGTGCTAGGTAAATTTCACAAATTACCACTTTTGAACATCATCACCACCTTAGGAGACACAGATGAGCAAAGAGGTTGCACCAGTATTAAGAAGCAGATCAAAATTTTTATCTGACTCCAACAGTTGAGAACCCCTGATGTGGATGGTAGGACAAAGCTGGTGAGTTTTATCAGAGCCGGATTGCTGACATTATGTCTTTGGTGTCCCTGCACCTATCCTGGGAATATGGGATGGAGAGAGATAACTGGTCTGGTCCAGACTCTCTGAACCTCAAATAATAAGTCCATAGGATAGCAGTCTATAGTAAATGGTCAATAAATGATTTTTGAATGAATAGATTTTTGATTGCATTTGAATTCTTAGAAAGCAGAATTTGGGGGCGCCTGGGTGCCTCAGTTGGTTAAGCAACTGCCTTCAGCTCAGGTCATGATCCTGGAGTCCCTGGATCAAGTCCCGCATCGGGCTCCCTGCTCGGCTGGGAGTCTGCTTCGTCCTCTGACCCTATCCCCTCTCATGTGTTCTTTCTCTCTCATTCTCTCTCTCTCAAATAAATAAAATCTTAAAAAAAAAAAAAAAAAGAAAAGAAAAGAAAGCAGGATTTGTATACTATATTCTTAACATAGAAAAGATACCAAACGTAGCCTAAGGTTAATGTTGGATTATGGTGCATAATTTATTTTCAGAACTGCTCATCTGACCAAGTCTATTTACAAGTCCATTTTGGGGCAATGGCATAGACACACTTCTGTGTAAGATTGCTGGCATTTGCAATAACTTGAGTTTTGATAAACCTTTAATTATATTTGAGGATTATCAAATTGAGACAATTGTTGATCGTAAATGAGAAAAAACAGTTAGTATGCAAACTCTAATGGGTACATTTATCATTTTCTTATCATACTGAGCTTCGAGCTTATTGTCTATTTTCCAAGAAAGTAGAAAGGCTATTTCTTAGAATAAAAATGTTTTTTATAATGTGAGCAGTAGATTCAAGCTGTACAGATTGGCTCTTTAATGAAATAGGCAACATTCCAATGGAACTGACAAGCTTTATTTCTATTTGTTGTATTTTCTTTCTCATTACAGATGGACCCAATTCAGAAAGCTGTAATAAATCATACATTCGGGGTTCCTCTTCCTCATCGAAGAAAGCAAATCATATCATGCAACATTTGCCAGTTGAGATTTAATTCCGATGTAAGTTTACCATTCAGTATTCACTGAAAAAAATGTATTATGCTGTTCCAATCTTGCAGAAGAGATTTCTTAAACATGTTTCTCCAATAACTGAGCATGTCAAAATTCAAAGATAACATTTTAACTTCTTATGTCTTTTAAAGTTGGAGTTTATTTTATTATTTTTGATTGTTTACTATGGAAACATCATACATTAACAATATTTTATACTTGCAGTTTAATGGTATTTTTTTAGTCTCTCGGGAATACTAAATTTAGGTAATACACTTTCCCTTTGGAGTATAGTCAAATTTAGGACCAACAAGACTTTTAATACATTATACCTCTGATATAAGATAGGTCCCGACTTATATTTCAAGGCCAACATTTTGCTTTGTAATTTTTTTATCTGCCTTGGTGGTCCCCAATTCCAGACCAGCCCTTGTGTCCTTAATGATATTTGTGTTAGAGTTCTCAAGTTATTCCCCTAGAAGTATTAGCATTTTAATAGGGAGTCTGAAAGACCTCAAAGCACTGAAGCCCCCTGATGAATAAAACTTAAGTGGAGAACATGACAGAAAGGAGACATTTGTGGACCTGACCAGTGCTTTGCAAATTATCCACAGAGTTATTCATATCTTCCATACCTTTTCTAAGGATCAGAAAATCTCTGGATTCATCACAGTGAAGCTCATTTTGGCTTATGGCCAATGTGAAAAACACTGCCTGCCTTCCCCAACCTCCTCTGGTGTGGAGTTGTCCTGAGAGGTACAGAAAAAAGAAGGAGTGTTGGTTTGGAAGGTCTAGGTATTGAATACCTGTTGGTACTCTAGGCAAACAGAGGACCCCATCCTGTCAAAATGACTTCTCCTCCGAGGTGCCATTATCTTGCCCTACGTGGATGTGCAGTGTGGAGATGACCAAAATGATCTGGATTCTGGAGAATGTTAGGCCTTCCAATATTTAATCTTTCTAGGCAAGTAAATCTTTTAGGTGCTCTGGTAATGAGAAGATCATGTGAGATAATCATGCACAGAAAACAGATGTGACAGGAATAGCGTCTTTTTCTTCTATGAGAACATCTCATGTTGTATAAAGATCGCTGCTGTCTTATGAACTCACACCTACTAGTACAGCCATCAGACAGTTTTATAACATTTCTTCTGTTGGCTTAAAAAAAAGTAGGTTGCCTGCATAGCACCTAAATGGTATTTGTTGATATAAAGAGAGGTTACTTAAAGAGAGGTTTTTGGTTTTTTGTTTTGTTTTTGTTGTTGATTTTTAAATACCAAGTGCTTTGATTTGATTTGAATTTTAAGAAATTTGCCACAGTTTATTAACAAAAAATCTTTTCAACTGATAAATGTCATATAATAATCTCTTTCAGTAAAAAAAAGAAGAGTCCTCTTGACCTGTACATTAGAGTTCTGAATTCAATAGTTTCAATTTTGATCATTTCTAAACATTTATTGAACAATCATATAGTTCTGTAATTGCCGTGTTAAGTGGCTCTTTCTTGCTTTCTTTCCTTTTTAAATCGTATTGATATTTCACTTTGGAACTGATCAGATAATGATGCAAAAGTCTCCCAGGAGCCATGCGGTCAGCTTCTTACATCTAATGGGGGCTATTTCAATATCTCCTCCTGCCAACAATTTAGTGTCAATATTTTCCTCTGTGTTAAGTAAACTTCCTGTAAACTGGGAATCAGAAAGAGACTTCAAGCTCATTGCACCCAATCTCCCACTAAATTTAAGAAAACCATCTGCCACATCTAGGCTAGGTCCTTGGTTGGTGATCTTCAGCTATGGATCACTCACCACTTCAAGAAAATTGTTCCTTTTTTTTTTTTTTTTTGAGTGTTTCTAATCCTGTTGATGGATATCAAAGTCATGTTTAAAGTCTTTAGAATTATTACCCAGTATGCATTAACATTAACATAAAAGAACATTTACGTCTTTTATAAAATGTAATCTTGTTTTATTTCCTTGATAAGAGAGAATAGCAATTTATTTTGCCTAATGAAGTTTCAAGTTGATATAGAAATCAATATGTATTTACCGGGGACAGTTGCTTCTCATTCTCACAATTTTGCTTTCAGGTGTGTCGGGCATGTGGTACATGGAAAGTGGCCAAGGTATTTGGAAAATTTAGACTAATTCGTCTGGGTCATAATTACATAATTGCAGACTTGACCATTCACTAGATGGTTACTGTATTAATCTTTGATTGCTGCTGTAATAAATCATGGCAAATTTGGTGGTTTAAAACAACATAAATGTATTATGGTCTGGAGGTGAGAAGTCAGAAATGGGTCTCCCTGGGCTAAAATCACGTTGTTGGCAGGGTTATGTTCCTTCTGGAGGCTCCAGTGGAGAATTCAGTTTCTTGCCTTTCTTGTCCACCTTCTAGAGGCAACTCTTTTGCTCATGACTCCTTTCCATCTTTAAAGCAAGCAGTGGTCAGTTGAATCCTTCTCACATTGAATGACTATGACCCTCACTTTTCTGCCTCCCTCTTCCACATTTAAGGACCCTTATGATTACAATGAATTCTTCTGGATGATCCAGGATAATTTCTCTACTTTAAAATCTGCTGATTAGCAACCTAATTCCATCTGCTAACTTAATCCCCCTTTGTCATATAATGTAACATATTCATAGTTTCCAGGGATTAGGTCTTAAATATCATTATTCGGCCTGCCACAGATACTCATTTGGATGTTTGGCTTAGATTTGAACTGAATTTTATGACCACTTGAATTTATCAGATAATTACCCAGTATAGCTTCATTGCTCTATATAAACTGGACACGTGTGCATTCATTGCTCTTTTATCTTGAACCTTAAATGTAAATTCACTATGCAATGCTAACTTTTAAAATTGCAGTTTAAAAAAAATGGGAAAACCCAATGTTATTAAACTTATAAATGACATAACAACATTTTACCTATGATTTACAAACAAAATATAATTATTATAAAGTTGAAGTACAGGAGCAGAAACTCCTTTAGAGACTTAAAAAATGTCTTGTAGCATTATTATGTCAATAAGGGGAACTAATATTCTGGAAATATGAGATTTGTTTACTATTGACTGGTCATGTCCACAAATATTACTTTTATAAAATATTTAATAGTGAGTGCCAAGATCAATTGGATTTATTATCCATTCACCCACATATAAGAAAATAATCTACATTAAGAGAAAATACAAATATTTTCTAGATAGGTACGTATAGATATATCTCATATTTGACCATTTTAAACCCAAGAAAAGGCTTTTTTTTTTAATCTTTTTTTTTTTTAATTTATTCATTTGAGACACAGAGATACAGAGAGAGAGAGAGAGAGAGAGAGAGAAAGCATGAGCAGGGAGAGAGGCAGAGGGAGAGGAAGAAGCAGGCTCCTCACTGAGCCAGGAGCCCGATGTGGGGCTCAATCCCAGGACCCTGGGATCATGACCTGAGCTGAAGGCAGACGCTTAACCATCTGAGCCACGCAGGTGCCCCCCAAGAAAAGGCTTTTTAATCCCAGTAAAACTACATCTGCTCCTTCCAGGTATATCTGGAATTTATCTTCCTATTTCCGTTCTTAAACCTAGAATTATTTTGGAAAAATAACCCTGTAATTCACTTGTATGCTTGGTTGCATCCTCAATCACATAGGAAAGTATTTTTGCCTTATGAACCTTTTTATATTTCAAACCTTCTTCCCCTTCCAATGAAAATAATAGCTTGTAGTTCTTTTCATCTTTGCATCATGAAAATTCAATTTCCTTTCCCTCTATGCTTTTATTTATTTTTTAACCCTTCATTTTATAATCTGTGTGGTTTGGTGTTATGTAATACCTGTTTCCTGTACAGTACATTTTCTATTTTTGGCCCCACAGAAATCTTTTTTAATGGCATATTATACTATATGCACTTTAAATGAGATTGCTTTCTCCTAGTATAGGTTTTTTCTTTGAAAAAAAACCAAAACTTTTCTCAACATTTACATGAAACACATATAAGGGTTATGCAAAAAGTTCCCAAATAAAGACCAAAAGGTTATAATTTGTCCAGTTATTTTATCAGCATCTTAAAACAAGCATATATTACCATTGGCCTGAGCATATATTACCATTGGCCTTATTTATTTTTTAACCCTTCATTTTATAATCTGTGTGGTTTGGTGTTATGTAATACCTGTTTCCTGTACAGTACATTTTCTATTTTTGGCCCCACAGAAATCTTTTTTAATGGCATATTATACTATATGCACTTTAAATGAGATTGCTTTCTCCTAGTATAGGTTTTTTCTTTGAAAAAAAAACAAAACTTTTCTCAACATTTACATGAAACACATATAAGGGTTATGCAAAAAGTTCCCAAATAAAGACCAAAAGGTTATAATTTGTCCAGTTATTTTATCAGCATCTTAAAACAAGCATATATTACCATTGGCCTGAGCAAGTTATTAAGTGTACCTTGGAAAGACAATTTATAGCAGGAGCAGCATGGATGTAAGGTTATTAAGTGAAGTATCAAATGATTACTTGATGACTATTTATAGAGTGGAAAGTAAGATCTCAGGCCCCAAACTAAAGAATCATTAAGCTGTAGCATCTAAGAGTCACTCTGGTTAGCCTGATAATAGTATTTCGTAATATGTTAGAGACAGAAGAAAATTTTTGCTAATTTCCCATGTAGAAACTGAGGAGCAGAAAATATAGGAGACATACAAGGCCACCTGGCCAGTTACTGGCCACTAGCCACACAGGGTCAGTGTCCACTCTTGTCATTGTTCCTGCCCCGTCTGGTCCAGGCAGAGTAGCAAGTCCATCCAAAGGCTCCAGCCAATCCTACAGTAATGGTGTGGCTGGAGATCTGTGTGCCTGGGGGCTCCTTTCCTTGCAGAACTAACTGGATGTGTCGGCTGCTGTGGAAAGTCATCTAGAGCCTGGGCCAGACCTTGCCCACCAGTGCTGGCGAGTACTTTCAAATGGCATCACCCATATCCAGTCACATGATTTCATCA